ACAAAAAAACCCCCCACCAAAACCTACTTGCATGTTCTGTCTTTGATAGATGTCAGAAATTACCTTTATGCACACTACACCTGTCAGTCATAGTGCAAAAAAATGGTGATGCAAGTGTGCGAAATCCTTATTAAGAGCAGTGGTTCCCAACTTTTTTGTCTTATGAATCCTAAAAAGTCAGCACTGACTCAGGTCGGGAACAGCTTGTAGGTGTGTCATTGAAGCATTTTTTAGTCTGCAATTAAGGTCACGTTTTAGGGCAGTTACCTTTTTATCAGAGTCAGGTGTATTGACCATGTAATCCTGATAATTTGACTCAGGAAATTGTTGTATGCTTTCACCCATTCAGATGAAATCTGTGTCTCTGATGGTACTTCTCCTTTTCAATTCTACCAGTCTGTCAACCTAATTGAACACTTGATCTTTTCAGATCTCATCATCTGTTTTTCAGCTTTGGACAGATCTTTTGTGGTTTTGTGGTGGAGCTGATGAGAGTTTTCTTGACAACATTTTCTTTTATTACTTTTATTCCAGTATAAATATACTTTACCTCTCAGTTAGAGGTTCTAGGTCATGAGGACAAAATCTATAATTATGAAAATTATGAAGGGCCCTTTCTTCATTTTATGTTATATGTTAAGTATTGTCCAAATGAATAGTAGTAGTAGTAGTAGTAGTAGTAGTAGTAGACTAGTATATCAGCAGTTTGAAGAGAATTTTAGTGTTACTCTGAAATCAGTTACTCAACTAGAGCCAGCTGCAGAACGAGTTCTAGTGCATGGTTCAGTAGAGATTGAGCATGCTCCATAGCAGTTAGTTACATAACCTGTGTTGACATTAAAGGTCAAATCAAGACCAAACATAGCTAACAAATGCAGTGTCCTTTTATATTTTAGCAATCAAGAAATGCCGCTCTTCATCAGAGCTTGCCTTCTTGATAACCTGAGCAGCAACATGGCAAAATCTCTCATGTTAGTAGCTTGTTTAATGTGCATTACCTGTAGCAGTGAAATGGATGTAAGTAATTTCAGGTTGACTGGCATTTCACTCTGCGGCCATCTTTCCTGTAGCCTTAGGCAGAGGGGTTGCAGTGGGGAGGGAGCGCCAGCACCAGTCAATTACCAGTTAATAAACAGTGGAAGTTTTCTATTAGTGCTTGTTAGTGCGTGTAAAAGATTGTTGGTATGTGGAATTGGGGGAAGGCACTGTGAAATAAAAAAAATAAAAAAAATACTGCCATTTTTTTTCTTTCCCTGAGTCTAATATACATCACCCAGTTCTCTGTAAGCATTCGCTTATGGAGATAATATTTGTTATTTGATTTTCAGCAGACTATACAGTGCAGTATATAATATTTGCAAACTCATTTTTTTCTTTTGAACAGTCAAGAAATGTGTGCTCAGGAGTTTCATTTAATGCAGTTTTTCATAAGTGACTATAGAGCATTCTTTCCAATAAAGAGAATCCATTACATAAGCATGGTGGAGGCCAAACAATGCAATGCTGGCTGCACCTCGTCTTGTCCTTGATAACATTATAGGCCCCCTGTGGATATGATGCATGGCCCCTTTTTGGATAGCAGTTGTCACATATCTGATGTGAGGTAAATCCCCCATATATCTGAGAGCAGATTTCACATTGCTTACAGAAGAATATTGCTGTAAGGAAAAACAGTGCACCTGAGTAGCCTTGGGAAGTAAAACAACATTAATTGGATTTGGGGAAGTCATCCCTACCAAGGGGACCCTGCTCTGACAGTCTGACAGCCAAGAGCATGAATCATTAAAACCCTACCCTGTCATATTAGACCACCTCCAATAACCACCACTACTTAGATTTGTTGACATACTGAGCCAAGAGCTGTAGCAGTGTGTAACTAGGCAAAAAATGTCCACAGATAAAAGACAGTCACAATAAATGGCCTCATCCATTATATCTAGCAGGAATAGCTGTAATTACACACATTTTACATTTATCTTCCAGAAAAGCAATGGATGCTTCTCTACTAACCATTGCCACCTGGAACCAGCATATGGGCTGGCGCCCTCTTGGGGTAATGGGTGGGGCGGACTCTCTGTCGACCATTGGGTCATTGGTAACCAGCAGCTGGGAGGCCGCCCTCTCATCACATCAACAAATCTCGCTTTAATTAGCTCACCTGCCCGTTTCCTCCCTTTTTCTCCCAACGCTCCCATCAAACCTCCCTCAGCCGACTTACAGGCTCACCTTCCTCTCTCATCCTGCCTCCACACCTGGGAATAGCTTCAGCCTCTCAACTTTATACCTACAGCTCTGCAGACACACAAACACACACACACACACAGCCTGTGCTATAAACGAGACTGACAATTGACTTCGAAAAAGCTTGGCTCTCATTGATTTTTAAATGGTGCCTCACTGATACCTTATTAGCATTGGGATCACCACTGATATGGTCATTGCTGAAGATCCACATGTCCTTTGTGCCTGTCGATATAATTTGCACATTCACAGGTGAAAATGATCTCACAGGCTTTGTTGTTGCACTCACCCCGGCTCTTTCCATTGGCTGTTTAAAGAAGTTCAATAGGTAGACCAGTGGTTTACTATATTGATCATAGTCAGTGTCTGCACTTTAATGGGAACACAATCCATCCTCGCCTTGGTATCCTTGTGTACTTCAAGCCCTGTGAGCCATTCTCATACAAAACGTTGCTTCATGTAACAATAGGAGAGCTTCTTTCCAAATTGAAAATATGTCTCATGCTAATTATTGCATGATTGTGTGGATTTAAATAATTCTCCTATACCCAAAGAAGTGCTGTTTAACATATTTATGCATAATAGGATGTCGTTAGCAAATTGCTAATTGCTTGTAAAATAATCCAAAATGAGATTTCCTCTTTGTACCAGCTATCATTACACAAAAGCAAATTTTCAAATGGCTGATATCTTATTAAGGAACAAGCCTCTTCATTTACACATCAGCTCTTTATCTGAATGATCCCAGTACACACTCCTGCTGCCTTTGAATACCTTCTGAAGCTGTGGTGGGACTTTTCTTATAGAGTGGATAGATCCCACTAGTATTGCCAGACTGGCTCTGGAGAGTGCTAACATACAAAGCAATCTAGGCCTGGGAAGATTGGCCTACGATGCTTGCGAGTCTCAGGTGACTGATAAAATCCAACCACCATCGAACTACCAGCACCGTCCGCTTTAGTGCTCCGGTCCCTCTGGTCCACCACCACTCTCTCTGTCTTAACCACAGTGCTTCCATATGGACACCTATTATGGCTGCCACTTAATTACCTATCAAAAACATTCCACTGCACTTGATGGAGGCCTAGCAGGAGGGGAGAAGGAGGGAAAAATACAGAGACAGAGAAAAAGGTGCTGGCATAAAGAAAAAAAGAATAAAAGATGGGAAAGAGAAATGGGAAAGTGGGACTGAGAGATTGATAGAGAGGACGAGCCGTGCATGTGTGAAGTGAATTTGAATGGATGGAGACAGACAAGGGGGGAGTGTAGGAATAGCCTTGTAGTGCAGATGAGGAGAGAAGTGATCTGGCCAGTGTCCTGTTTTTTTGTTTAGTGTTTACAAACACACAACAACAAGAGAGAAAAGGGGGTGGGTCCGGGCCAGGGGAGGCTATAAATTACTCATGATTGATGCTTGTCGCCGTGGAGGACGACAGTTAAAGACATGCAATGCTCATCGCTGACCCTCTCTTCACTCCCTCCCCCCGTTCTCAAACACACCGACTCACACCCACCCCCCCTGACAACACACAATTAGCTGTTCTGTCTGTCACATGGCCCACCCTTAGCGGTCATACACCAAAATAATATTCATTTCCTACTAGACGGACTGCTGGTTAGAAGAGCAGCTTTCACCACAGGGGGTTTGATGCAGTAAGGCTCTCTGCTTTAAATGTCAACCTTCATCACTCCGTTTCAGGCAAACAAATCTGCTATACATCCAGGGAATATAGATTTCTTTCCCCTTCTAGTAAGATGTTGGCTCTTTTTATTGATAAATAGTTGGATGGTTCAGGACTTCAATAATCTGGACCGCTGTGAGTGGACAGACGTAACTCTAAAACTAGGCACAAAAACAAATCTAATGATATGAAAATAAGAGAATACTAAAACTAGGCGAAAAACCCTAATGTCCAATAATAACTGAAACATCAAACATTATTTTCAGTGTTTGTCTTTTGATCCTGGCATTGGTAGCAGAAAGCAATCTAAAATGTAACACCTGAGGGATATAGGCAAGTCTGTCCATTTTTAGAATTTGACATACAAAATTTCTATTTTAGATTAAATGTATTCACATGTGTCTGTCACAACAGTAATTTGCTGTGTGGGCTGACAGCAAATTATATTAGATCGTAATAGGAGTTCTCAGTTACTTTGTTTGTCCTGTGAATAAATAATATACAGCATGTAATATATGTATACCTGTTAATAAATGTAAGCAGCTGCTTTAAACCAGTGTTTCCATACACTAACATTTAATTCAATTCAATTCA